CTAAGATATCAATGTTTATGCGTTCCATTTCATTTTTGACAACTTCCAATTTTCCCAGATTCATACTTCGTACATTCCATGTTCCGATTTTCAATGGAGGTTACAGCTGTTTCTTTGTTTACAACAAGTCGTAAAAAAGTTGTAAAATGTTTACAATGCTTCATTTTGAGTTGTGCCCCATCAGCAAATGAAGGTCCCATGGGTTTTACTCCATTCGCGTCATCACGGTCAACTCTACTTTGAGGAGGCAGCTCTTCCCCAGTCGCATTTTGAGTGCCTTCCAACCTGAAGTGCTCATTTCCCGGCACTGTATCTGACAGTGTTTCTCTGCTATTCCTAAGGTTTTCAGTGACTAAATATTCGGAAGTAGTTTGTCACTCTTTCTTCCTAGTCTGTCTTCTTCTGGAAGCTCATCAGAAACCTGTCCACCATGAGAGATCCTGCTAGTATTTAAAATACTAGTGGCATAGCTTCCAGAATCACAGCAACTCACAAGCCACCACAATATGACAAAGCAACAGATGAGTGGTGGGTTGTGAGTATACATTAGGCCAAACCGAAGATTTAAATATTTTATATTTCCAATTAGCAATACTTACCAATATCCTTGTGTGGTGCTGTGGGTTAATGCGTCAGACTGCAAAGCTGTTTGAACTGCAAGGTCGGCGGTTCAAGCTCACCAGCTGCTCCTCAGAAACTCTATACAGGGTTGCTATGGGTCACAACCAACTCAAAGGCACTTAACAACAACAACCACCAATATCCCAATATAGAATTTTCCCTTTATTTTCTAGAAAGACACTTAGATGAGAAACAGCGCTGGGCAAGAAACCATGAAACACAGGATGTAGTATAGCATCAGCTCTGTCACTCACTTTTGTCAGTTAAATACTAAGTGTTTTGATTTGTCATTTTTAAGTGCAATTGAGTTGGTTCCAACTCATAGCGACCCAGTATAGTTTCTGAGGAGCAGCCGGTGGATTTGAACTGCTGACCATGTAGTTTGCAGTCCAGTGCCGACCCTACAGTGCCACACCAGGATTGTTGTTGTAAAGTGCTGTCAAGTCGGTTCCAACCCATAGCGACCCTGAACAGGGTTTCCAAGGTTATAAATCTTTACGGGAGCAGAAAAGCCTCATCTTTCTCCCGCAGAGCAGCTGGTAGTTTCGAACTGCTGACCTTGCAGTTTGCAGCCCAATTCATAACCACTACGCTACCAGAGCTCCTTTTGATAGGTGCTAAATAAAAAAGATAAGACCCTTGTCTATTAGAAGGAAGAACAGAGAATATGACAGCATAAAGGAGGAAGCAATTAATTCTTTAAAAAGGTTTTAAATCATGTGCAGAGGAGGTTTCACTTGCACTAGGCATACAAATGAATAAAGTTCACAAAACAAAGAGAAAACAAAATGTCAGACAGGAAAATGTTTATCTAATGATCTAAAAAGTGACAAAGGAGTTGTGGTGGTGCAAAGATTAGGTGCTCAGCTGCTAACAGAAAGGTTGCTGGTTCAAACCCACTCAGTGGCTGCACAGAAGAAAGATCTGGTGATCTGCTCCTGTAAAGATTGTTGTTGTTAAGTGCCATTGAGTCAGTTCCGACCCAGAACGACCCTGAATAGAGTTTCCAAGCAGTGACTGGTGAGTTTGAACCGCCGCATTAACCCACAGCACCACACCAGGTCTCCCCTGTAAAGATCGCAAACTAGGAAACTCTACAGGGCAGTTCTACTCTGTCATAAAAGGGGTCACTATGAGTTGAAAACAGAAGATGAAAAGGCATATATTTGGCTGTGCCTCTTGCAAAGTGGTGGGAGAAACCAGAAAACCTTTTTTTTTTTTTTTTAATTTCAAGGTAAGATAGTTAATACAATCTCACATACATGGTCACTACACTTCCCTATGCTAGGCACTATGTTAAGATATTTACTTTTAGTGTATCATCTAATCCTCACGATAATCCTGTAAGGTAGGAACAAGCCTCATCTTGATTTTACAGATGAAATACAGAAATTATCCTGTTTTTATAGAGAAGAAAACAATATACCAGAGATGTTCAATAATCTGTACCAAGTCAGACATCCAGCAGATAGCTGAAGTAGACAACAAAAGATAATGCTTCTACTAAAACATGCCAAATTGTCAGTTTTCCACTGAGCAATTTATATTTAGACCCAGAAGGAATCACTAGAATAAAACTCATCATGATTAAAACCTAAAATAAGGTTATTGTTACTGTTGTTCTTAAGTGCCACAGAGTCGATTCCAACTTATAGCAACTCTGTACAGGGTTTCCAAGGTACAGCTGATGAGCTTGAACTGCAGACCTTGCAGTTAAAACTGACCTTGCAGTCCAGTGCACTAACCCACCACACCACACCAGGACTCTCGAGACTCTGTATTCTTATGAAGGCTACACTGTAATCAGGGAATTGATAAGGATGCACAACTGAACCATCATCCATGAGCAATTAATTAAAATTACATGGAAATATCAATATAAGTCCATTAAATATGGGCTTATAAAACCCTAAGTAGCTTACTTTCAAACAAGGGGTCATGTTTTTCAATGAAAATTCTGATTCCATCGTTCTAAAGAGAAGAGCCTCTATGTTTTACAAGATCAGTATTCTTTACGAAGAAGTACTCGGTAATATGATTTTTGGTAAAAATTTGAATAAGAGTAAAATTTATAAAATTTAATTGGAAATTAATTACCTGGATCAACAGAAACATCAAAGTATGGGATGCCAATTATTTACAAAGACTAAAGTCTCCATAAATGACTATACTTTCTAAAAGTCAAAACACTAAAAATGTAAAAGCTGAAAGTATAACTTCTGAACATTCATAATATATAGTAAATAAAGTCATTTATTTTGAGAATTAAAACCCTAAAGTCTATGTGTTCAACAGCACTGTTTTAAAAACTACATTAGCAAAGAAAGGCTTCCATTTCCTTATTGATGTTCCTCGGGTTTAAAAATAATTGCTACCCAATTTTTAGACAGAAAGAGATTTCATTACTCTAGCCATCACAGTTTATATGTCTATGATATTAAGAGAATCAAACTAAAACCCATTCAAATATTATTTTTATGCTTCTTTTACTTAAGACTGATTTACATGAGCCCTATGAAAACATTTTTTTTACTGCGCAGCAAAAGGTATCGATAAGGATGTTGCTTACCTGTTTTTTCCTTTTGTTCTCTGTGCCTGAAAAAATAGATGACATCTTTTGGATTGGCTACCCGCTCTACAAACTTCTGGCTAAAGCGAAGTACATTGAAAGGCTCAAAGCCTCCACTGTAGTCCACCTGGAAATACAGAATATGCTAGAAACGTCAGGAGACGACAGCTTTCCAGTCTTAAGGAAACACACTCATCCTTCCCAATAACAGTGCTTACGTTCAGTATTTCTTTAATTAACATGCTAACTTTCTATGATATATTTGAAAGAACATGATGGGGTTATGCCATTTATTCTAATGAGAAATAAAGTTTGAAAGGCTTATCAACTTAGAACAAAATATTCTGTTCAGTAGCATCAGAATTCAGCATAAAGTTCCATAATGTAGGCATGACTCCAACTCCCCAGGATGACACTAATAGTCTAGGAACATGTGAAAAGGGAAGGAAGAAATTCTACATGAAATTCTAAAAACCAAAGGGAATGGCTCCCACCAAAATAAAACATCAGCTCTCGAACCATTAGCTAATTGGTCTATCATCACAAAGATACATTCTCATACTAGACAAGATGTGGATGCTGGGAAAATCCATTCGAAAGAAAGAAGCAAATACGGGAATTGTGCAAAATGATCACCTTTCAAAGCACAGTACCCATTTAGAACTAACAACCTCTATCAAGCAGGCTCTCTCTAAAGAAGTCTATAGTGGTAAACAGACCTTTCTAGAGAGAAATACCACATTTCTTTTTGAGAGATATAATCATTTTTCCTAAACTAGCTGTTCCCAAAGTACACTCCCTCAGAAGCTGCATTGCAATGCCATCCCTGTGGAGAGGTCTTGCTGGTCACACTCTCAGAAGTGCTTCTAACCACCCCCTGACTTACATGCTGTATTATCCCATTTAGCACTATCTGAAATCGTGTTCATTTACTTGACCCGTGTTAATTATGCCTCTCCTCACACCACCACCTACCACTTATTAAGCTCTATAAGTTCAAAACCTGTTTGCTTTATCATCATTTGTTGTTGTTAGGTGCCATGGAGTCAGCACTGATTCATAGCAACCTTATGCACAGCAGAAAGGATCCAATAAATCTTTGTTCAATTAACTAAATGAATTAAAGGGGATGCTCTAGTTAACACAGTGTCCTTTCATAATATTACATGCATGATATCAATGTTTTCATCTTATGAACGAGTTAAGAGTTCACTGCGTTTAGAGAAGGAATGCCAAGCTAAGTCTGATTAGTTCTGATGGTGTCATGTAGATACTGATAAGGAACATGGAATCTTATGCCCTGGTAAAGAGGACTGACTGTATAGTTCCCCCCAAAGTAACTATCATTGGATGAACCCAGGTCACAGCTCAAGAGTCAATGGTGAGTGCTAAAACTACTTGGACTCCCCAAAGACCTTCAGAATTTTTAGCAATTGTATTCCAGTCTAACTTTACTTGCCATTTTCTGCTCCTAGTAGTTAAAAAAGGAGCTTAGCTGCTAACTGAAAGATCAGTGGTTCGAATCCAACAGTCTTTCCACAGGAGAAAGAAGTGGCAGTGTGCTTCTATAATAATTACAGCCTTGAAAATCCTATGGGACAGCTCTACTTTGTATTATACGGTTACTATGAGTCAGAATTGACTCAGCAGCACTGGGTGCTGTGTTTTAAGAGAACTGCAAAACTCACTCAGTAAACCACCATCTATTGAATGTCTACAGCGATGTACTAATCACTCTGCTGATGACTAGGGATACAACCATAAATACAACACAATCTCTGCTGCCAAGAAATTTACAACCTGACAGGGAAGACAAACATAAATTATGAATGGCAAGCAGAATGTGAATGGTGTCAGAAGAAGTACTTACAAGGTAGAATGAAGACCCAAAGGAAGAAGCAATCACTTCTTAAAGTCATATGCTTAAACTGGTGGGCAAGAAGGGTTTCTTTGGAAAAAGCAGACTTTGAGTGGGTATTGATGGAGACATAGAGAAAGAAGGGAGCCAGATGCCTTCTTTGTAGCAGGAGCAGCATGGGCAGATGTGCGAAAGAGGAAATTAAACTCCACTGGGCTCAAGGACTATTGTTGTGAAGTGCCGCTGAGTCGATTCCAACCAATCGCGACCCTGTATAGAGTTTTCAAGAAGCAGCTGGTGAGCTTGAACCACCAACCTTGCAGTTCAAACAGCTTTGCAGTCTGGCGCATTAACCCACCGCACCACACCAGGACTGCGGGGCTCAAGGAACAGAAACTTTTGATTCAGTACAAGTAGGGTTTATGATGAAAAAAGGGAGAAGCCAAAAAGACTGGTTTAGAGCAGATTGAGAAGACCCCCGAATGTCATTCAAGAGTTTACACTTGTTCCTATGAGTGCTGTGGGGTTATGACATCATTTTCTATATGCGAGATGATGTTTTACACAGATCATGTTGCCATGAATGTGGAAGATGTTTTAGCTAGAATTGAGAGAGGGGATAAACTGGAAGCAGGAACCAGGAGACAGATCAGCTAGGGTGGTAATGAGAGTTCAACTGCAGCCTGGACATTGGGCTACAGAGAAGGAACCAGGTCATCTACTCTGCACCCGGTACTGTTTAATCCATTTAAATCATAACCCTAAGAAGTCAGCACAAACCGCTGGACACGATTCAACTGCTCAAGGTAAAATAGCTAGCTAGCAGTGTGGTGCTCAGGAGTAAAGCAGTGGACCACAAGGTCAGTTTGAACGACAAGGTCAGCGGTTCAAGCTCACCAGCCGCTCCATGGAAATGCAACACAGGGTCTCTATGAGTCGGAATCGAGTCAACGGCATTTAACAACAACAAAGCCATTATCAAAACCAGACATTCTGCCTCCAGACTATATTATTTCCATATTGTATATCCTCTAGGACTCAAAAGGAGCTCTGGCAGCATAGTGGTTACAAGCCAGCAGTTCAAAACTATCAACTGTTTCATGAGAGAAAGATGAGGCTTTCTCCTCCCATAAAGACTTACAGTCACAGAAATCTTTATGCTATGGTCGTAAAGAATTTAAAGCAGGGTCGCTGAGAGTCGGAACCGACTCCACAGCATACTACCACCACCACCAGGGCTCAAATACCACTGGCTTGCCTGTCACTTTGTTGCAGTATATTGCTTGCATATTGCTGTAATGTTGGAAGCTACACCACCAGTATGCTGCAGCAGGGGCAGACACCAGAGGTTCCAGACTAAGACAGACTCAGAAGAAGAGGTCGACTACCGAATGAGAAGAAACAGCTGTAAACATCCATTAATAACTGGGAAATTGGAAGTTGTCACAAATTAAATGGAACACAAAAAGATCAATATTCTAGGCATTAATGAGCTGAAATGGACTACTATTGGCCATTTTTTATCTGACAAATGACATGGTTCACTATTCTGGGAATGACAATTTGAAGACGAATGGTGTCGCATTCATCATCAAAAAGAACATATCAAGATCTATCTTGAAGTATGATACTGTCTGTGATAGGATAATATACATATGCCTACAAGGAAGATGAGTTAATAGCGCTATTATTCAAATTTATAGCACTATTATTCAAATTTATGTACCAACCACTAAAGCCAATGATAATGCAATT